AAGAATGTGCCTTCTCTTCTAGAGATGGCTCACAAATTTAAAACTATGATTACTTTTAAAAATGAGACCTTGTGCTTTAGAACATTTATCAAATTAGAATAAAAAGCTAAAAAAAATAAAATTAGAATAAAAAGCTATTTTTGGATTAGTGATGAACTGGTAGCCTTTCAGAAGGGTTTCATGTCTTAGAAACGTTAGGTCTTACAAAAGACATGGCCTACTCTGAATAGCTGCAGATGATGCATGATGACATCTGCAAAAACTCAACTTAAAAAAATAAAACCTAGCTCCATGACTGATTGATTGATTTTATTTACTTATTTGTTTGTTCGTACCAGGAATTGATCTCGGGACCTCGTGCTTGCCAGGCAGGCACAATTCCGCTGAGCTATATTCCCAGCCCCAGCTCTGTGATTTTTAAACAAAAGAACACTCTAAGCACATACAGAAGATTGAGAACAAGACACAAAAAGCCCATAAAACAGATAAATCATAAAGTTACCTCTATATCCTGAATAATCTTTGGGTATAATGATCTATAAAATGAATTGGGAGGGCCATCTGTGGGTCTGTTTTTAAACAGGTACTGGTCCCTGGCAAATAAAAACAGATGTTACATTTTTGTACATAAAAGGGTAAATTTTATTTCAACATGGTGCTTACAAAGATCTTATCTTTTATGTTTTTTTAACTTGCATTGAGTTTTAATAGTTCAAAAGCAGAATTTCTAACAATAAAATTTTCAGAGACAAGTTTGGTTCAATTTACAGCTATCTGACATAATGCTGGCCTTTTATTTTCTGAATGCCAATACATAATAACAAAGCCTTTTGTTCTAGAGACTTTATTTAATAAGAAGTGGTACATAGAAAAATCTAACTTAGTCCATACCAAACTTCATCCCATACAGAAAATACAGCCCAGCCAGGCATGGTACCACATGCCTATTAATCCAAGCACTCCGGGAGGTTGAGGCAGGAGGACCCCAACTTTGAGTCCAGCCTAGGCAAACTTAGTGACTCAGCGAGACTTTGTCTTAAAATAAAACGGGCTGGGGATAAAGCTTAGTGTAAAGGTTCTAGGTTCAATGATACTCTGAGAAAAAGGAAGAAAGAAAAGAGGGAGGAAGAAAGATAGAGGAGAGGTGGGAGGGATTGAGAGGGCAAGGGAAGGAGCGAAGAAGAGAGGAGGGAAGGAAGGAGGCAGGAAGAAGGGAGGGAGGAAGAGGGGAAGAAGAAGGGAGGGAGGGAGGGAGGTAAACAAGGAAGGAAAGAAGGGAGGGAGAGAGGAAATACAGCCCTAACCTTTGCTCTCATCAACCCTGTACTTCCATTCATAGTTCTCTCTCTACATTAACTGGACCAGGCCACTGTCATGCATAGGGCTATAAAGCTGCATTTAAGTGCATGGGTTTTCTCTGAAAAATCTTGTCATTGTAGCTCCTATATCCTCAACCAGGAGTAACAACAAATAGCAAAATGGTATTATTTGACTCAGATTTTTCTTTTGTCTTATGTATCTTTTGATGATGGTATCACTGCCTAAGGAAAAAGCATAAATTTATAGCTCTGAAAAGCCAAATCACTTACTCAAACTAAATTTAACTCTTTAACAGTTACTATAGGAAATTTTGTGTTTCTAAAGAACTTCTAACTTCTTTAACTGCCCCCCCCCCGCAACTTTTGACCTTGTTTAAAATAGGCCAACACAGTTCCAAGTATAACTGCTTTCTTGAATAATCAAGCTGACTATGTCAAAGACTTTTTTTCCCAAAGAAATAAACAACTCAAGTACTTACCACCCTCTTCTTTCTGAAAGGCCTTTCCATAGAGGATCAGTGCGTACCATTCGTTCAATCAGCTTCTTCCAAAGCATTCCTTCTGAGATCACTCGCTGCCATTCTTTACATACCAGCTCTGCTGCACACAGAGATCTGGCATCCAGGTAGGAAAGAATGTTTTCTGCTATGTGATCTAAGCCTTGCTCTACAAAATATAAAAGGGAATGAAGGACTAGACAGGAAGGTAGAAATGCGCAACCATCATTTCCTTAAAGAAAAATAAATTCTGAACCAGCTAAAATATTTCAGTAATATCAAAAGGTCTACTGATACACAAATGTACAAGTGCTGTATATACACATACACATTTCATTTTAATTTTTTATTATAAAACAACTGATGGCAACTGTTTCCTGTGCAAAAGCTGACTCTGGAAAGCTCTGTGTTTGTCCTATTAAAATAATGACTTATTTTCATTTTCTTTTACATAATTCTTACAAAACGCCTATAGGGTAATGTCTCCCCATATTTTACAGATGAGGTACAGAAAGAAGCAAACACTCAAGGCTTTGCTGAGTGGTAAAGCCAAGACTAGAACTCAGGTTTCCTGTTACAAAATCTGTGCTCATTCCCCTTACTTACAACAAACCCTACCCAGCAGTCATGCCTTCTGTGCCTCCCTATGAGCTAAGAAAATCAAACAGGCGAAAGTGACGCACCCTTAAAAACTTATGAAAAGTTAAACGTAAATCAAATGTTAAAAATCAGTTGTGCTTAGATCTATTTTTGTCAATTGTTTTATCTTCTTATTGTGCATATCCACTTTATATTTCTGAACAGATAGTAAAAATCCTCAAAAGCAATAGCCACATGTTTACAAGTTTTGGAACTCTGGAAATTATTGGGTTTAACAGCCCACATAATTCAAGGGTCCTCACATAGATAATCACTCAAGATTCAATCTCTGCCCGACATTTACATAGAAAGAGAAGATAACTATTGGCAGCACTGTGCTACCTGTCGATTCCCTTTCAGTAGTTCTAGAAGTGTCCAATATAACTGCACGAAATGCAGCTCCTCTGCAAGTCTGTTCTGTCTAGAGATGAAAACACAGAATATATAGTCAGAAAATACCAATTTTATATTGGAGGTTCACTATCTACTAATTCTTACTATTTCTAAAAGATAAAACAAATATCAAAATGTCCCTTTGTCTTGGTTTTCTACCATACAAAATGGTAATCACCGGTAACAACTGCCCCTTCTCACACTAGTAAGAATCAGTAAGAATCAAATTAAACAGACTTATGAAGAGATTTTAAAGACAATAAAGCACTTTGCTAGATTAATGTTTGTTCTTTATCAAAATAAAAAGAAGAGGTAGAA